GGGGGGGGGGGGTGTCACATGACGCGCTCACCGTTTTTCTCTGACGTCCTGAGGAAGATCAGGTCGGCAGGAATCCTCTGGTTCTGCAAACGGGACCAAACAGGAGAGTCAGAGCTCTGTGATTTCTGCTCTTTTCTGGAGCTTCTGAGCTCCTGATGATGCATCATAACAGATAACCTGCTGTTTGTCTGCTATATAACGAGAGAACAAGCTATTGATGCATTTTCTAGAGATGTTTGGTATTTACCTAATTTATTTCACCTTTGCTTTAATTTGTCTTTATTTCTCTTTTGTTCTTTTACCCTATTTACTTTACTTGATTTAACCTTTTTTTAATTATTTGTTTTTTTTAATTATACTTATGGACCTTATTGACTTTCTGGATTTTTTAAAAAGCTTTTTTTTACAGGATTAATCAGCCCTGATATTTACATTAAATAATTTTTAGCAGCTTTTTTACAGCTTCATGACCTCATTAAAACACTCAAAAAGGGAAACGTTGAGCTGGGATGATCCACCTCCTCTAAGGTTGGTCAAAGGAAACAATAACTCAGCATCTGACCCTCTGGAGCCTAAAACATCAACATAATTTAAGCCCAAACCCCTGAAAACAACTTAAATATTTGTAGTATGATGTTAAAAATCTGATAAGATGCTTTCCATGAACAAACAAAAATCCCAAAGTGAGTCTGGACATGTTTACCTTCTCCACTATGATCATGTCTCCAACCTGAATGTCTGAACTCTTTACTTGAATTTTACCTGAAAAGCAGACAGAGAGAAAAACAAAAAACAACCTTAAATCAATAGGATAAAATCAGTTATGTGAGATAAGATTCTCAGATTGATTTATTTGATTTCTCCTGAAACGGGCCGAACCCCCTGGGGGCAGCTGCTGTGGCAGAAGCAGCTCAGAGTGCCTCAGACTTCAGTTTAAACCCAGCAAGTAGGAGGCGGAGCCCTCACCTCGCAGCGTCAGCTTGCTGTAGAGCTGGGAGTTCATCTCCTTGTCCCGCTGGTAGCGCCGCGCCTCGTCCACCGCCTCTCGCACCATCGTCACAGCCAGCACGAAACCCTGAGACAGGAAGCAGGTCAGACGCAGCCCTTAAGTCAGAAGAGAGTCACCCACCTACAGCCGTCAGCGGGGCAACAAGCCCAGCAGTGAAAACCAACTCTTTTGGGCCTATTTGGGTCTTATGGGGCCTCTTTGGGCCTCGTGGGGTCTCATACGGTCTCATGGGGGTCTTTTTGGGCTGTTGGTCTGCAGGTTTTAGAGGGTTTCCTGCTTCTACACTCCTGGTTCAGGTAGAACTGCTCTCTAAAGATGCTTCAGACAGGAAAAAAGGCTCCTAACTCAAGGGATGAGCCAGACAACTTAGCAAAGGCAGCCAAAGCAGCTGCTCCTAAAGACTCAGATCCAATTTCCCTAAAGAGAAATTAGAGGGAAAGCAAAACCGACCAAACGAACCCCATTTATCACATTTAAAAACAAATATTTTCAGGTACCAAATCAAAGGATCAGGTACCAAAATGTCCCAGATCTGTTTTATTGGCCACTTCAACAGATTTAGTTTAAACAGGCTGTTGCCCCTGTGTCACTGTGGCTTCTTATGGCTTACAGAAAGGAGACACAGCTGCTTTCAGAGGGTTCGGGAGGCGTTTAAATCTGGTTTTTTTGGCCTTTATTCCCAATCCAAAACCCCAAATTTAGCCAAACCAGAACCAAAGACTGTCGGCTGGCTTAAAAACATCTACCAGCTGTGAGTTGCGGGCTAACGATGCGACAGAGGAGGCTGGCAGAGTGAAGCCTGAGCTTAATTACCAGCGGGGCCCAGTATGTGTACAGATATCCTATTTTCAGAGATGGCACGAACTGGGAGCAGGCCACCACCAGGAAATACAGATTCAGGAAGAACTTGAACTGCTGGTAGAGAACCTGAAAGAGAGGAAAGAAAGAGGACAAACTCTGAGTCAGCTGGGAATATGAACAGTTCCAAATGTAAGCGCCCACATTTTAGGAGCAAACCCCAAAGTTTGTGCATCATAGCAGGCACAACCTGCTGTTTCTCTGTCACTTAATGAGAGAACAAGCTATTCATGCATTTTTATAGAGAAGTTTGGAACTTTGCCCCATTTTGTTTCACCTTTGCTTTAAAATTTATTTTATTTGTTTTAAACCTTTTTTAGGTTAGTTTTTACTTGAACATTTTTCAAACTTTATTTCATATGTATTTATTTCTGTTTATCAATATTATTTATATATTTATTATTATTTGATTATCTGATTTGTGTATCCTATTTATTTATATTATTTTAATTTACTTTCTTTTGCTTCATTTTATCTTTTTACATGAACAATTTTAATTACTTTTCTTCTTTTTTCTTTAATCTAATTTATTTTACCTTATCACCATCAAAAGTTTGAGCCCATGTGCCCACAGAGCCCCCCCTCATGAGCCATCCATCAGCTGGAGACGCTACAGTTCTGCTCATCTAAGGTCAGATTTTGACTAATGTTTGCAATAATGAGAGTGCGGCGCCCGGCCACTGATTACCAGAGACAAAAGGATCAATGGCGACACTCCTCAGTTAATGAACCCCCCCGACCTTTAGGGAAAAATGCATCCTGCTAAACTCAATTTGTGTGCATTTAATAATTCAAGGTGGAGGAGAAAAATGGAGCCGTTTGGTTCAGCATCAGTGGGAATATCTGCGTCTCTAACAGACAGTTGACATTTAATGGGCTGAGCCCCTTTAATCATGGAGCCATTTGCTTTTTAATAAGTAACTCTGATGGATTTCATGTTCCCTGCAGAGGAAACCTTCCCCTTAATGACACAGAAGTCAGCAGTTAAGACGCGGTGCGCGTTACACACAAACACAGCTTTACTTAAGAGGGGCGGGAAGAACAAATATGGCTGCTCTCAGAGCTCAGATCCCAGCTCTGGCTCTGAAGGTGCTGCCTCCCTGATCTGGACCCGGCTCCTAACAGGGCTGGAGAGCTGGCTCAGGTCAGATCTGCTCCAATTCCACTGAAATCTAAAGTTTAGGGAGCCTCTGGGCCGCTTAGCTCAGCTACATCAGGCTTTCCTGATGACATCTGTGTGGTTTCTCCCCCCCGCTGCATCCCAACTCACCCCAGGCACAAAGGTGAGGATGTTGTACTTCTGGTTTTTGATGGCGTTTTTGGGGTACTTCTCCTCGCACTTCTCTGGGCGGCCGAGCCAAACGGTTCTGGCCTTCAGCTCCTTCTTCCTGCGGCAGACGTGAGCCAGGCAGTCGCAGCAGCTGGGGGCAGAAAGGGGGCAAACGGTGAGCTGTGGGGGCCCAAAGGAGACCCGGAACCAGATGACATTGCAGGCTGATTCCCAAAGAGCTGTTAGCTAAAAAAAAAAAAAAGGAATTTCTGCAGCTTCCTGCAGTTTTCAGAGCTATCCTGCTTTTTCTGTCATTTTCAGTCCTCGTAGCTGAGCATTTTCACAGGAATGTGTTTTTACTTTGTCAGATTTTTCTGTTTGATTGGGTTATTTTTGGGCATTTTTATGTCTAACAATCGATTGGATCAGTTAGGAGAAAAAAGGGAAACAAAGCTTGTTGTACTCTATAAAAAAAGAAAAGGATAAAGAACTCCTCGGGCTTGTTTTTCCTCTGATAAAAGTCTCATTTACTGCTCCAGGAAACTTTGCAGAGTCCAAACCCAGAGTGTGGGCTGCCTTTTGAAAAAGTGAGTGACTTTGTCTCCACCTGCTAACGACTCTCATATCTGCTATCAAAGGCAAACACTGCGGGCCTCATTTCAATGCGAGCCGCCGGATGCCAGCGTGACCTGAGCTGGCACCTGGGGACGGGGGTGGGGGGGGCAGTGTACACCGTCATGCTGAGCGACTTGGCTTTTCCACTTTTTAAGCAAGTTGGCAAAACGGGAAGCTAAATAAATGAACTCTGGTGAAACGTCTTGTTTGCGTTGGCGCCCGTGTCCTCTGCCTCCGAGCGCCGCCGGTCCAGATTCATAAGAGCGATTATTTGAGCAAATGAATGCTACCCAAATAATAGGCCGTTTGAACAGTCGGAGCTTATGCACTGCGAACTATTTGCCTTCTATAATCCCACACTATGCACACAGAAAATTACTGGAAAGCATCAAACTGGTCAGCTGTGAAGAATCCGATTTGCCGGTCGGCGGGGGAGGGGACCGATGGGCAGAAGGAGCAGCAGCGCCGAGGACAGAAAACCTGCACTAGTTTGTGTTCCCGCTCGGAAAAAGAGTCCTTTTGTTGCTTCTCTCCAGAGAGGAGCATCTCTGGAGTGTCCTCTGAGGGGTCGGGGCTGCTCAGGGGCTCGGTTTGACCTCCAGAGGAGGCTGACCACAAACAGAAACCAGGTCCTGAAGAAGCTGCTCAACTTTTTATCCACCGACGCTTTGTTTTTAGGCCTTAAAGCCGTTTGATACTCTGTAAAAAAAACCTCCAGGTTGAGAGAACAAAAACGGCTCTCTCTGGTTCGGACATTTCAGACCTGAAGACAGGACGACAACAGGCCTGGAGGTGGTTTGTGAGGGGAATAATGCAAGTTTTTATTTATTCATGCACACATAAACACCAACACCAGTAACAACAGGGACGTGTATCCAGCCTACATGCTCAACGGCCGCCTTCACATCAGCCTTTTTCCTTTTTCTTTTATTAAACATACAACAGATATTTACATTTAGCACCAACTTTCACTCTAACCTACCAAAAAACGTGTTGCCAGGCTCTCTGAAAAGCCAACATGCGTTCAGTTGATGCCATTTCTGACATCATTTCCATCCATCTCCTAACATCTGGAGCGACTTTTCCAGACTTCCCACCTCTAAAACACCTCGTTCATATTTGGTTAGATCCCCTAACCAGCTGTGCTCTAGAGCTTTTAACATTTATCTATTTTACTGTTGAAAAAAGTCTGTGCTTAAATGCATATATTTTTGACAAAACTAGTTTTATATGATGCATCTCTGATAAATGCTCATACTTTTGGACCTCGGGCCCCGTTTCCTGTGATCAAGTTTAAACCTGCTCCTCAGATGGGGCTTTTTAAGCATCTTTTTTATTACTTTTAAAGCCAATTTCACACTGGGGGGGGGGTCAGAGGGCTGGGCGTACCTGCTGCAGAGGACCTTCCAGCCCCCCGATAGGAACCAGCAGAGGCCCCTCTGTCTCTGACCCACTCTGGCCCGGGGCAGTGTCTGGTAGTCGCTCTCGTCATTCTCGAAGGCTTCCTCCGACATCATCAGAGGCATCTCGTCCAAGTTGGACGACTCATCTTCCAAAGAGAACCTGGAACAGACGGAGAGCCAGAGGAAACGTTGGATTAGGGAGAAGAACTGACTTCAAGCTTCACCAGAACCTCTATAATGCCATCATAAACTAAGTTTATTTTTCTAAGCCCTGGAAGCCACAAACGAGTTATTCAAGCTTTGTCTCAGAATGATGTGAGTTTCAGCTGCTGCCGTCAATCTGAAAGTTTAAGGCTGTTTAGAAAGCAGCTAAAAGTGAATACTGCCCTTTTAATTTCTCATTAAAGCTCTCAGTTTGAGTAAAAAAGTCACAGAGAAACTGAGTTTAAATGCAGAAAACTGCCTCGTTTTGGCTCACACTCACAGAGAAATTCAGTCCGAGACAGAAAAACTGCCTCGTTTTGACTCAAACTCACAGAGAAACTCAGTTTAAAACAGAAAACCAGCCTTAAACTTGGATAGAAACTCAGTTTAAATCTGAAAAACAGCCTCCTTTTGGCTCAAACTCTGAGAGAACCTTTAGATTAAGACTCAATCTAGGACAAAGTGGGACTCATTTGGACCAAGAAGATGGAAACAGGAAGCAAAACACCCCCCAAATCTCTGGATCTAAGCATCAGAGGACCCTCAGCTGTCCTCAGGATCCAACATGGCCGCTCACAGCTGCAGGAAACAGCTGTTTAGCAGCACATCTGCCAGGCTGCAGCTCAGAGGGGCAGAAACACTCTGTGCAGGTTTGGCTGCAGCAGAAACCTCTGCTCATCTAACTCCAGCCAGCTGTGTCTCCTGCTGCTTCCTCTGTTAAAAACCAAAGCAAGCCCTGATCTGAGCTCTCTGGAGGCTTTTAGGGGCCTGAATGGATCCAACAGTCCATTAGAAGCTCCTGTTTCAGCTGCTTGAATAAACAAGCTCAGCCTCTGAGTTTCTGGCTGGTTCAGCAGCAATAACGCAAACAGCTCCATCAGGAAAAAGGAAACAGCTTCAACCAGCAAATGAAACAATCTGAATCAGCTTTTCTGAGACAGTGAATACGAGCTGAAGGCTGAGTTCCATCATGTGAAGGATGGAAGATGATTACTGTGCTGCCGCTAGTTAGAGGAAATGAGGTTCATTTAGGAACCACCGTTCAGCTGGATTTAACTCATTTCAGGAAGCCATTTTCTCATCATTAAAACCTTGGATTTGAGAGGAAGTAGACTTTTTAATGTCTATTTTATGTTATGTTTTGACAAAACAATGTATGCTGCCAACAAAACCCACTCTAATCCACAGTTTGTAGGACTATCACACCCACTTCTGGTTACATAACAGGGCCAGGCTTCATGCAGTAGGAGGCTGTTTACAGCCCTTTTCTGGCTCTGCATTATGACACAGAAGCCAGCAGCTGACTTCACAGTCAGAGAAGTTTCACCAGTGATTCCCCTGCTATTTCAGGACCAGAGCATGAAAGCATTTCCCTTTTACACACCCACAAAACCCACACGACACTCATTACTGAGGATAGTCCAAAGAAGCCTAATGTTTCAATGAAAACCCACTTTTAAAGGGACTCTATCTTATCTACATGTACCTGTTTATGCGCCTATTCTTGTCCATTCCTCACCCTGAGGGCTTTATTAGCTCATCCTGGTCCAGTCTGAAAAATAAACAAGCTGGTAAATGATGACTTCAGACTGAAGCAGCTGTTCTACAACAAGTCACCAACACAGAAATCATCATGTGACCGGTAACAAAACGCCACTTAGAGCAGAAGTCCAAACACAACGGTCGCCATCAAGCGCTGACGTTACAAAAGTGGTGATGTGACACATAAAAGTGAGAGGACAGTGAATGTGTATGTTTGTAGCTCTACTGGTGCTGACAGGAGCTGAGCATGCTGCTGTCAGAGGAGGAATGCGGAGGAGCTGTCAACGGCAGAGCTAGCAACACAAGCTAACAGCCATAACCCGCGCGCGCAGACCCCGGAAGAAAGGAGGCGGCCGGGTTAGAAAATGCCCGGGAAAAGGTTGTTCCTTCACAGCATCCGGCCCCAAAAACCTCCACGTCGGCCCACTCGTACCTTGAAAGTCTGGAGGAGTTGTAATACGGGATTCTCTTCGAGTTCTTCCGCATCGGATTTAACGGGATGCTGTCAGCCATCTTGGCTGGGCAGTCGCGTCCTGACGTCACGAAGCGACGGTTGAAGGTCCGTGTCGCGTTCATGTGTAACTCCAAACTCCAAACTTTTGAAAACTGAAGTTTTGGTTGCTGTTTTAAGTTATAATGCGTAGAGTGTAAGTGAAAAATGACCTTTAAAACTACTATTTCTGGTTTAAATGTATTTCTTTAATTATTTCAAAGTCAAAATTAAAGTTTTGTTTTTGTTTTTTTCAAAGTTATAGGCCGCACCGTTGACAGTTGTAGAATTTTCCATATCCATGAAGGGGACACATGACTTCATTGTGGTCGTTGTGTTAAATTGATCGGGATTGAGTTTTGAGCACGTGCAACGTATCTAAACCAAAGGTAAACATGCTTTGGATTTCAAGTTGTCCACAGTGTGAGTATTTTGATTTAATTAAAGAACGAAAACATTAAATCTATCACGAACCCAGCTGTGAGAAATAACGTGCCTCTGATTGAAAATGTGCGATTAAAACTAATTTGGAGATTGGATGGAAACAAGTCACATTCCTAATATTTACTGCACACTTCACGGTGATATAAACATCTTCATTTCTTTATATACTTTTATATAAATTATAATTGAAAACATAATCAAGTGCATTAAAATACGGAAACACGGAAGCTTTACTGTAAAAAAAAGAATATAAGGAAAAAGTTTGTAAAACACTAAAGAGTTGAAAGTGCCTATGTGGCTAGAAAGACATTTAACCTCTAAAATTGCACAAATTCTGTGTTAATGTTCTAAAGTTTATTCATATTTGTAACTTCCAATGAATGAATGCACGTATTTATTATTTTTATGAAACTCTGCAGGCAATAAAAGGGGTTCTTAATAGTCCTGCACAAATTTCTGTATTGTATTTGTTCTGGAAGATGCACTAAAAGCACAAAATAAAGGGCGTGCCGATTTGAGGGGGATGTTACAGCGGAATATGAGGTATAAAACTGAGCGTTCAGACAACGCGTTCCCGTTTTTATTCAGCCTGACAGCAGTTGGTTCTGGGGGTGTGCGATCACTGAGGGCTTTAAACCAGCAGCAGCGGACAGCTGTGCAGAAGGAGCAGCAGATTCTGCATTATTGATGTGAGCGTATGTTCCCTTCTGCTGATGCACACACGGTGAGCTCCAGAGGACTTTCCAGGAATTTAAGCTCCCCAATTGTTAGAAAACGTCCACAATCGGCTACTATGGCCGTTTTCTATCCACTGATAAAAAGTTTTTTTTAGGCCTATATATAAGAACAAACAAGACGATTTACAAATATTTTAATGTCCAAAACTATTTGCATAAGAATCAATTCAACATTGTCTTTTTTTTTCAGTTGATTCCGATTTCTTTGCCATCGTCGATAAGCATAGAAAAGTGTCTGTTGCCCCCCAGGTCCATGGCGGCCTTGGTGAGGCCGGTCAGCGGCCCGGCGGCGCCCATTCTGTCCATGCTCGCCGTCAGCGGGTGGAGCTGAGCGATGCCTCGGTTCTGGATCACCGAGATCTCGTTGTTCTTCATGGCCAGGCTGTTGGTGATGGCCGTGGCGTAGCGGCTCCAGAACCCGGGGTCCACGTTCATGGCCCGGGCCGCCAGGTCCTTCTGGAGGATCTCCCCAAACTTCAGGGCCTCGCCACCCAGCAGGGCCATGGGGTTCTCCACCGACAGCCGCCGGCCCCTCCTGGCAGGCGCGTTGCTCCACATGTGAGTCCCCATATGCACCTGAGAGGGAGAGTTAGCACAGGAAGCTCAGTGAGGAGCTCAGTAGAGGACAGGTCCACCTGAAGCATCTTTAACTTCCTGAGAGCCAAAAGCTTTTATCTGGTTTCTGCTTAGTTCCAGATCTCTGGATCAGGAGGAGCTGATAAGTTTAATAACTAGACTTTATCCTGGTGCAGGTAATTTTTATTCATAGAGGCTCAGTGAGTTTATCTTTAGAATTAAAATGTCTGTTTACAGATTTAATTAAATGTTTTGCTATTTGTGTTGCTATTTAGTTCTGAGTTCCAAATGACTTATTTACAACATTTTAATTCCACAATAAGAACATGATTGGTGTAAAATGTCTAAAAGCATTTTCCTTTAGATTTCAAACAGTAAAGCACTAAAAGCTGAGATCTCTGACTTCTTTGAACACAACAATGATTTTCCTTCATCTAAAGACCTAAAAAGCTGGTTTTTCAGTGATTTTCTAAAGAATTCCCCACACAGATGTTCTTCCATTTAAATGGATCCCACACAGTATCCTCTCCTTTCTCAGGTCACATGTAAAATGTCTAAAAGCGTTTTTCTTTAGATTTTAAACAGTAGTGTCTGATAGCATCTGCTATGAGACCAAGAGGTCAAAGGTCAAGGAGAAAAGAAGAATCCTGGTACAGAGAGGCAGAAACGCAGCGTCCTCCATCAGAACAGGAAATGAGGATTAGATAACCTGAAATTCCGCCAGCAGTTTAGTCTTTAGTTTAGTCTTCTGTTTTAGTCTTCACATTTTCCATTTTTTTGTTTCGATTCTTATCTTTTTTATTGCCGTTTCCCCTCAGTGTACAAGTTAAACAGTCCAAAGCAGAACCTCTTTTTATCACCCATAAAACACACTGATGCTCAGACTAATTTGTGATATTTTGGCAATTGTTTACATAATTATAGAGAAATCTAACTGAGAAGATTGAATGGTCTCAGATTAGTAATCCAATGTGATAAATTAGAGCTTCTATGTGACTTTTGTGATGGAAAAGGAGAATTCAGATCTTGTAAAATAGGTCTGTAGATGAAGGGAAATCATTATTGTGTTCAAAGAGCTCAGAAATCTCAGCTTCTACTGCTTTTTTACTGTCAAAAAAAACGTGAACGGGGGGGGGCACCTTCAGGTTTCCTTTGGTGGTGAAAGCGCGGCCGCAGACGGAGCAGACGAAGGGCTTCTCCCCCGTGTGCGTGCGCTCGTGGATCTGCAGGGCGCTGGCCGAGGAGAAGTTCTTCCCACACACGTTGCAGTTGTGCTGCCTCTGGGTCCTGCGGGGGGGCCCGGCCGGGCCCAGCAGGGGGGCCACATGGACGCTGAACGGGGGCTGTGGGTCGCCCGCCATGGCGCCGCCACCCGGAGCTGCAGGGGACACAAACACAGCTGTAAGGGGGGGCGGCGTTCCCGCCTCCGTGGGCGGAGCCTAGGGATGGGACGGTTTCCGAAAACCGTCCGAACCGTTCGGTTCGACTGTCTCGGTTCGATTCGCGTGTGTTGCGTTCGGTTCATGCGCTGCTCCTTTTTCTCATAGCGAAGCGTGTTCACTCCAGAGCAGAAGGTGGAGCTACTGCGCCCAAAGCCAACCACCAGTAGTGAACAAGAAGAAGAAGCGAAGCAGCGTAGCTGATAAAAATCCGACTTTATAGGTCTGCTGTATAGGACCACTTTGCATTTAGAGGGAAGCACATGTTGGAATTAGCACTGTTTCCTCTCTTGCAATGCCAGAATCTCACCTATTTTTAACCTAAGACTGTCACAATAATGTATCAAATGTCAGACTGCTTTTTTCTTTCAGTTTTAACCTGACTATACAAGACATAATAGATTTTCCTAACAATCAACATATACTGAACCGAACCGAAAACCCTGAATCGAACAGAACCGTGGATTTTGTGAACCGTCCCACCCCTAGCGGAGCCCAGTCGGGATTCGCCTGCTTCACCTCCGTCTCCGGTCAGCCGGAACGGCGCTCCGTGGGGCGCCTCTTCTTTGACGCACGCCGGAAGCTCCGCCTCCTCTCGCTTCACCGCCAATCGGGGCTCCAGAGCCAATCGGGGCTCCAGAGCCAATCGGGGCTCCAGCAGCTCCGGCTTGTTGTCGTCTGGAGCCGGGGATCTGATCCCAGAGGTGTCCGGACCGCTTGGGACGGCCCGAATTGGTGAGTCGGAGGGCGAGGGTTCGGACGCATGGCTGCTCTCGCTGCCACTCTCCCCCCTCCGGTCGGCCTCGGCGTCCAACTGGGAGCCCCCAGTGCTCCCAGTGCTCATCCCAGTGCTCATCCCAGTGCTCATCCCAGTGCTCATCCCAG